GGCCCTCCTTGCTAGTCGTGTGCTCCCAAGTCAAATGTCTTCAATCTATTCTTCGTTCCTCTGTGTACACAATATACTCTTCCCATTACTCAGGCCTCCATAAACTTTTCCTCTCCTAAGGAATCATAGTCTGAAGATCGCAGTTACCAGGGTTTAACTTACTTAACCCCCACAAGCCGAACCTTATCCCATACCCTGAACATATGGCACAATGCAATATCTAATGTTAAAGTTCCAGCTCTAAATTCCGTGTAGTGAAGAGGAAGGTCGCCAGTATTACTGGAGCGTTTCAGGTTAATCTTCTTCGTAAGCAGCCATAGAAATGAATCCCGACTACTGAAAGGGTATATTATTGACAGAGGTGAAGGAGTTAAAGCGAGGCGTTATTAGGCAGGTCCGTAGAATATGTTTGGGGAATTTAAAGGGTACGGCGCATCGGTGACTAAAGAGGAATTGAGGTGACCGCCTTAATCAGCTCAACTTCATCTAGAATCAGAGTTCAGTCGTGAGTGAAAGTTGCGGATGTAAAAGAAAGGAGTTGCTGTCTGCAGGGTCTGAATAATGCCGTGCTCCATCCTCATAACTGTCCTCATGCGTTCCTTGATTCGTATCTAAAATCGCCTGCTGGTTCAAACCACAACGACGATGAAATAGGGCATCTGACGTCTGTTGGGAAAACAATGAAGAGCATATTGGTTCACCGTGGACTGCGACACGGTTCGCTTAGATGGGATACAAAAAACCTCCATGCGGCAACAGTAGGGTATGTATTCCCCTTCCTTAATCCCTGCTTCCAGAATGTTATCCTACAAAAATGGTGGTTATAGGATTTTATGTGTGAAGAATCATGGTACGCAGTGGAATATAATTTAATAACTGCTTTATGAATTTTTATTTTGTTGTATTAAGAAGTGTTGATTTATATCTGCAGACTTTCCTAATCTGTATTATCGTTTACCGTATTGCGGAAAAAACCAATGATCAAATTGCAGGTTTCTTGAAGTTCCCGAAAAATAGAACTGGTGGATAGGAGGTCGTCTACTTCAACTTACCTGAGGTCCACCTTACCGTTTTGGAGTTTAATTAGTATAGTCCGCAGCACGAAGCGCCGCGCACACCTTCGATTTACATGCAGAACAACTAACTACCAGCGGCCACGGGAATCATCTTCGAAAACAGTTTTTCACTTTACACTTATGTCTAAAAATGTCCTTCTCTGCTGGGACTAGAAGTATATGAAGGGGATTACATAAGTTGTTTATGCCCTCTATGCCGACTGCCGGGCAATATCACCGGCATTCGACAACAGGACGCGCCCACAACCTGGAATCCTTGTCCTACAGTACTAATTTACTGCTAACATGCTATCTTCTGCGTCTATAGTTCCCAAACCTTTGTTCGGCAAAACCCAAAGTCTGATGTAAAGGTCGCTTAGTCCTATGAAAAGAGCATTTTTACAATATTCTGTCAGTTGTACAGACTTGATAACGCCAACTTAAAAAAACGCCCCGGGGCATAGTCAATCAGACTGTGCGACTTAATATATGAAGGTGTCGGATAACGCAAGAACGCAAACCAAATTAGCCAAAATTTATTATATTTTCGAAATATACGCGTGAGACTAATTTATTCGAAGGATGAAGGCAAGAAGCACTGCAACCGCGGAAACGCCAGTGTGCATTATGTTCGCAGCATCATTGTCGTTGTCGTCGTTATCGTCATCATGATCATTATCATGCTGATCATCGTCGTTGTCATTGTCGTTGTCAGTGTCAGGTTTCTGCGTATGTCCGCCCGCACCTGCTGGGGTCGTAGACTTTGTGGAACTTGTCTGCCCACCTTGGTTGTCGTTTCCAGGGTCACCGCTGCCGCCATTACCTGCTGGCGTTGAACCAGTGGTGGAACCACCATTGTCTTGGTCTTGCGAGACCTCGGAATTGCCGTCATTACCTGCTGGCGTTGAACCAGTGGTGGAACTACCATTGTCTTGGTCATGCGAGACCTCGGAATTGCTGTCATTACCTGCTGGCGTTGAACCAGTTGTGGAACCACCGTTTTCTTGGTCATGCAAGACCTCGGAATTGCTGTCATCACCTGCTGGCGTTGAACCAGTGGTGGAACCACCATTTTCTTGGTCATTCAAGACCTCGGAATTGCCGCCATCAACTGCTGGCGTTGAACCAGTGGTGGAACCACCATTTTCCGGTAAATTGGGGTCTTCGGTGATAAAACTATTGTCGTCGGCACTTTCTAGAGTCGTTCCCCTGGTGGAACCTTCATTTTCCTGGAGGAGGTTATCCTTATTGCCTTCAGCTTCTCGTGCAATAGGCGTAGCTCCTATTGTTTTATCTGTATAGGAAAACAAACGCATAATTTTCAAAGGCTCGTTTTTTAACCTAATTTGACGAAATTGACTAGTGTATTTCAACATTCATTAAATGTAGTGAACCAGTGTAGTTGAAAGACAATGTTCCACAATTCTTACCTTGCAGCAAAAGGCTCATGAACAAAAGAAGGGTAAATGCCAACTTCCACATCTTGGCAATTTTCAACTACAAGGAAATAATAACACAAAAAGAACACTATGAAGAGTCCGCCCACTAAAATGGCAAACGAACTTCTATGCTGCATAGAAACACTAATGCAAGCAGAGTGTTCATTGACTTCTAAGATCAGTGAACTTACCCAGAGCAGGTAAGGATACTCTGCGCTACGAGGATCGCTTGTTGTTTATATAGTTAGCGGATCCGCAAGGGTCGTGGATGGATTGGTGTAAACCATCTGTCTGGCAAGGTCATGTTCCGCCGAGACAATGACTGTCCCCACATTCCTTTGCTATTTATGTCACGCGTGGGCCGCTAGCCCTGGTATGCTGATGACTTACCCGCATGATCATCTGGCATGGCGGACCACTCAGCAGTAAACTACTTTAAACAATAACAATGCCCAGCAGAATATACTACACGCTTTAGTTACAGACGAGCAAGTCCCTGTCCTGAATTTAGCTAGATGCGCGACAGCTTGTTAAGGACAAAATTACTTCTATTTGAGCTTTGTATAATCAAGTGTATTTGATTATCTTAGGGTGCAAAAGTAGCTTACGCAGTATTCTTCATATATTCCTAGTCTCAGCATTTTGTTCTACGAAAACAGTGGTTATAGGTGTTTTAGGGTGGGGAAATAAGATATGCAGAGAACGAAATTTTTAGAAGTAAAATTCAAGTGAAAAAAATGTGGTCGAACTTGTTTCCCGCGGCCGCTGGGAGTAAGTTGTTCCACATGTAATTTAAGGGCTTCCACGGCGCTAAACGCCGTGGAATACTCTAATCTAACTCCAGAACGGTAAGTTGAACCTCAGGTAAGTTGAAGTAGACGATCTCCTAAGCGCCGTTTTTATCTTTTCATGAATTTCGTTACTGTTGCCTCTTAGAGTCCGACCCACATGCATAAGTGGACACACTTTCAGGTAAGTCTTAGCGTCCCAAATGTGAGCTACGGTTACTGGTGTGAAAATGGGGCTATACTGGAACAAGGAGGAGTAAGCAATTAAATGGAGCCACTCACTTGAAAATGGTCATCCTATATGTTGCGGTCTTATTTATACCCTGCAGTGCGCAACTGTGAGTACGGGTCTCATACCTTTCCGAGTCAATTTCAATGATTGGGATGTTTCTGCTCTTCAAACTGGAGGCGTTTTTGCAACGTTTAAGCTGATTGGACGCCAAAATTGGTAGCAGCTGATAAACTACAGTAGGTCACATATCTGATCCAAGGTTGGGGATTGAGGGATTTAACACAAACTTGAGGTCGTTTATTTAGTTCATTGGGTTGGCTTGAGGCGCAAAATGCTGTTAGCTAGAATTTAATTCCGTTAAGGTCAGTATACTTTGAGAAAATATAGGCAGAAATAGGCGAA